TTTTATTTTTTATTTATTTATTTATTTATTTTTTTTTTTTTAGGATCGTTGATTAGCTTAATTACAGATTTAGGCAGAATTGCTAGTCTTTTTATTGCTAACTAGAAGAAAGAAAGAATATAGTTTTTTCTTTTTTTTTGTGTGTGTGTGTGTGGAACACCACTATTTTAGGGATTTATTTTGCTGTGCTTTTCGTTGTTTTGCACTATAAAGTTACAGTAGTGTAGTGGATCATATTTACATCGCTAACATATTTATATATTATTTTATTTTTTTGTAGTAATTCTGTTTTTCTTATTTAGTCAGATTTATTTTTTTCAATATTCCTTCAAATCTGTCAGTTTTATATTGGATTTTCCTTTTTTTTTTTTTTCACTTTTTTGAAAACTTTAGTGAGCTGTTATAACTGTAGTCTGTGTGTACAGCAACAGTTTTTTCAAGATTACTAATGAAGCTGAATGCTAAGCTGATGATAATTTCTGAAACTAAAATAGATTGGCAGATATTTAAACAAACAGCTAAAATTTAAACCTATATTTTTTTTTCAGGTAGATTGTAAAGGTATAAAACTGATTTTTTTCATTTATCTTTTTTTGGATTATCAAATTTTTGTAAAATAATAATTGATTTCTTTTGTATTTCTCATTTTTTTGTTATAAAATTTGATTATTTTATTTTTTTACTGTAAACAGTAATTGTTGATGCTTTAGTTAGTATTATTCTTTTCTAAATCTTTGATAAAATTTAGAACTTTCAAGTAGTTTTGGATTGTTTAAAGATAATATCATCAATTGGCCACAAAAACTGATGGATTTAAATTTTTTATGATAATTATTTTCCCCTCTTCTTCTTTTTTTTTTTCCTTTTTTTTTGTTGCTTTGTAAGTTAAAAATGAAAAGCAAAAATTAGCGTTCTCTAAGCTATTGAAACATTTGATTGTTTTTCAATGATTCAGTACATTTTTTAATGGACTGGAAAAAAAAAAGACAACAACTGAAGAAAGGAATGTTTTTGAGCGACACTTCCTGTTTGCTCTTCTGTTACGTGAGGTTTGTAATTTGTTTTATCTTAAATTTTTAGATGGAAAAGTGAAGAAGAAGAAGAAGAAGAAATAGAAGGAGAAAAAAAAAAAAGCAAATGAAGCAGTTTGATTGTCAACAGAAAAAATTCTTTAGCGGTACTATTTTTTAATGAAACTTTTTGGTTTTGCCAACACAAAAACCCATGTGGCTTTACAAACTTTCTATGTTTAGGAAGTCTTCAAATCAAATGGGTCTGTTGTTGGCAGTTTTTTCTTTTTTCTGTATTTCAACAACATTAGAAAAACAGTTAAGAGATTCTGATTTGCCGTCTATTGATTGATCAACGTGTGAGTAATCGAGTTTTCTCAATTAATCTTTTACAGGGAAAGGAAAAAATAAGATGTTTTTCCATCTTTTTATCTCATTGTTTATTTCTTTAATTGTTCGCAGCTTAGAACGATTTTTGAGATTGGTCGTTTTCCTCAGTCTTTTTTCTTCCA